TAATATAAAAAAAACAATTATACATACTAAAATGCACGAATTCTAGACAAAACAAAACAAGACGAAAAAGAAATTTAAAAGTAGCCCAAACCAAGAACATACAAATTAAGATTGACGGGTATCGTGCTGCTGCACTATAGATGGGGGCTCTATGTTTTTTATTGCACGCGGATGAACTGGTTGCACCACTCTGAATGCGGGGGCAGGCACATGCATTGCAAGGTCGAATTTAGAGCTTTTTTTCTTTCTTAAAATAGTAGAAAGGTTAATCTATAAATTGCTTAGCCCTACTCTTGCAACATCACAGTGTCTCTCAAGCCTTCATCTAGCCTTAAGATGTGTTTATTGCAATCTCGACATTTAAGTTCACACCTATATTTCTACGTTGATTTGAAAAAAAAAATAAAAAATAAACAGTTTTAAGAATTGCGGTGTTTGCGTTGCAGAAACATATAGTTATAAATGTGCCCATATTACATCCATGCTATTTACAAGTTATAAATCAAACCGCTGGCCTCCCCTTCAGCTCACCAGTGTCAAATGTGCTACTAAATTATCAGTCCTCTCTTATACAAACAAAATATGACAGTTGAGCGGAACATGATGCTTAAATTAGTAAATCACTCACATAAAAAAAACAAAAAAAATTTGTCGAGTAAAGACGATTACTGGAAAACACACTCACATAGCGCGGCGACATAGCTGACAGTCCACAACCACCCGACAAGCTGAATCTTGGCAAAGGACTACTCAGCGGCCCGTGGAATTCGGCTTTGGACATACTGGGAGGACTTTACTACAGCACAGATCTACCGTCAAGAAACAGCCATATTTTAACAGAAAACATGAATTAAAAATGACTTCAAACACGGAAATAACCAATCAGAGACATTCTGACTATTACTATTAGAATAAAGAGCACTTCCAAATAACGCTGTACTGGACCTTTCGGGCCGATCGCTGTGGACTACACGCGGACTCGTCGGAGATTCCCGGCCCAGAGTTAGACACGGTTCAAACTCATCGGATCATGACAAAACGTACATTGCGCAGCAAGAACACATGTCCCCGATGGTCAAGAGGAAGGAGAGGATCATCTCATTGTCACTCACGTGGAAAAGAAAGCGGTCCGTCGTGTCTTCGGCCCGCGGAAGCCAGTGGTGACATGTATGGTTGGCCACAACAAAGGAAGATCACCGGTGTGTAGGCGCTGCCGAGTGAATATCCAAGATCTTGACAATCCGCATTTTGAAGATCGCACTTGGCATTAAACCATCGTTCTTACTGGTTCCAGCAAGGGTAGCGTGGATAAAGGAGATGCCGAGCCGCTTCGCCCGATAAAAAAAAATGTCCGCTAAGCAATGAAATGCACTCAAACAACTTAGAAACTGACACCACGGTGTCCTGATATGAACATGTTGATCTTGCCATTCTTGAAAAGAGCTATCTCTGCCGAAAAAAAGAAAAAAAAACACTCCATAAATTGCGAAGCGCATCTGCCCCTTTGCATTTCGCGGATGCGTGTGTTGGACATGGGGACCGTCCCCGCCGTCTTCCAGTCCCTACCTTATCATTAGGCCTTGGTTCACACGATCCCACTTTCTGTGTGCGTGCGTTTGTGTGTGTGTGGGTGTGCTTCGCGGGCTGGACTGCGTCACTCCTAAGCTGAAAGTGAAGAGGAAGCTAAGGTGTTCGGTGAACCAATCGCACGTTTGGCTTTAATCTCGTGATCACGCTCCCTCCCATAACTACGCGCAGAGAGCGGAGCAGGCGATAACCGGTCTGGCGGGCGCGCAGCTGCTTCAACACTGTCGGCTTAGAAATGAAGGGATCCCTCCTCCTTCAAGGACGAGGACGCCGAGTCCCCTAATCTCAAAAGAGATTTAGAGATTAGTGATGGTGGGTGGGGAAAACGGGAGGGAAACTGTTTTCTCATCACCATCTCTCGCCCTTTTCGGGAGAGAGATAGAGCTCTTGCGCCAGACCGACGGACCTTCGTAAGCAACCCGTTTCGAGGCCATCGGCGCGCCCCTCCACCGAGCTCTTCCCTCTCTCGAATTCTTCCGTTTGTCTCAGCTGGTATTTGCTATCCCGGTATTCAAAAACCAATATGGCAGAGATTGCTTAGGCATGATAACTCTAGAACGAAAGGACAAAAAGGGACTGACAGACACGAAGCACTGAACTCAGCTTGAAACCTCATGTTAAAATGATAAAGATAATGATAAATCAAATGTCTCCCAACAAAAAGAAAAGGGGCGATATAAATTTCAAGAAGATTGTCGGCCACTTTGGCGTTCCCTCAGAGCACCAGTGAAGCTAACTAGCTTATGCCTCAAAATAAATAAAACAGGAGAGCATGCGCACAAAGAGACATGCACATAAACATGTGGAATGCGCCACATCGGTAGTCTAAAAATATCAACGATATGTGGGCGATCGTACGGGTGTAGCATTATAACCCCAAGTCCAGAATCCGTGTGCACGCTTCAACCAGCATTGTTCCATGTCTTAACCTAATATCTTGAGGGTCTACAAATGACGGCATGATTACGTTGCACACGCTCGTCAGCACACTAACTGTCACTTAATTAAAAGCAGAATGCTCCGCCGTCACGGTGAGGACCAGGCCACACGATCTGAGAATTCGCGTCATGGGCTTTTGATAAAACTAGCCTTTTCAAGGCAGGGCAAAAGGGAAAAGGGCGGGTGTCAGTCGTGGGGCATTCGACATCGGGTGCTTTCGTGCACCACCCGATCGTACATAGGGCATGAACTTTCTGTAAAGCGGTCTCCTTTAGGGAACTTGGCAGTCCACTGTGATAAGTGTTCGTATGACCCTTTGCTGGATAAAACAGCTTCCGGGCAAGTATGAACAGAAAACAGAGGGGAAAACTTTGGAGGTGTTCAAATTTAGCGTAAAGAAAGATGATAGTTGCATCAGTGCGTCGTCACTCGTTTCTTCAAATAAGAAATTCAGATTCATTTGGCTTGAGGTATAATAAAGTGTGTATCAGTGGCGTAGCCAAAAAATTTTTTCCAGGAACTTTTTTTTTTTTTTTGCTTAAGCTGTTTGAAAGACACACACAAAAAAAAGAGAGGAAACGAAACTGCCCAAACACAATATTGTTTCCTGTTTCTTAGACGACAAAAGTCCACCCTTCTTTTTCACATCTCGTTCGTCCAATATTTAAAACAGGGAAATTTAATGTTAAATGACGAAAGAACGCAGTCATTAAATATTATAATTAACTTTGAGTAAAAAAGTCCAGACAGGCTCACAAAAAAATTACGGTGCGTGCACTTCAATGCGGAACACTCGAGTATCCAATGACTGAAAACTGCGGAAAAGTGCCAGAGAATAGCGAAGTTTAGAATACGATTAAACACAAAAACTACAATGCGCACTGGGGCAATGAGCTAGTGAATCATCACGCTCATTGTTCCTGCGCGGATCACATATTTCACAAATTATCGTTTTATAGTCATGTTTTAAATTATTTCCGTTCTTCGTTGTCGTTTTACGAGGAAGTGGAAGAGAAAAATACCAGTTTCTACCATTGTGTGGGGTCTAAACATTTAGTGGAAGCCGCCGTCGGTCGATAGAAAGAAGCGAGAGTACCATTTCGGTGCTGATTTGCATATTCCGGTGAATGTTCAAAAGCGCAGCCCCTATTAGCGGCGAGATGTTTTAGTGGCGCCCTCGTATGGTTTCCTCTCGTGACGTCATTTTACCTTACGAACAACAAGTTCGACGGTGTTTAGAATTAGCATGGTGGAAGCTTGAGATCATTGCGCTCTTAAACCAACACTGCCAACCCCGTCAAAATTGAAGTTCGTGCATTGCTCTTATTTCTTTCAATGAGAAAACCTTTGCTGACGTCATAGTGACCATTCGGCCAATCGTGGAAGGCCGATCACAGCGACGCTTTTGATCGCGCACGTCGCCAATGCTGCGTTCACCATTAAGCTCAGACTAGAAGCTCCGCTTTAAGCGCGAGCTTTCTGCCCTTCCAAAAACAAGCGTGATCGCGCAGGCACGCTCAACCAATGCACTGCCGAAGCCAGCGAGCTCGCGTTGAAGGCGAAGCGTCTGGACTCAGCTTAAAACGGAGTAGCAAGCGCCTCTGGGACGTTGAAGCCCTCAGGTGCTTCAACGTTCCAGTCTTCGGAGTCTCGAAAGCAAATGTTCCGCTTCAGCGCTGCTAACGAGCATGGTGGCCAGGATTTGCAGCAGGCGGGTTACATTAGGATACAAGGCCTCTGGGCAAATGCAAGTTGCCTGTACCGCTGAGACGCGCTAAGCGGTGCGGTCCCTCCACATCTGTGTCAAAACCAGTACTTCCCCAGGAAGTTCATCTAACAAAACGAATGCTCCGCACAGGCTGGAGATTGGCGACCGGCGTCGTTGGCCACAACATCGCTGTCGCCTAGGGCGGACAATGCTGCCTGGCGTGAGTGTTGGTTCTGTTGGAGACGTTGATGACACGCTTGAAGTTGTAGGTCAATAATCATTCTTAAAAAAAAAGTCAAGAACTGCTTGGCTCTTGAACTCATTTTTGAAAGTCTATATACGTAGAGGAAGTTCCACGACTCACGTGCTGAACGCAAGCATGTAAACATTACCCACTTCAGCGATTAAAGAAGTCAACTAGGTACGCTTTGAAACCAAATGATTATGAGCATTCCAAAGTTGCTTCAACAGTGCATATGCTGTCGCTTTTCTCTCTTGCTTCTTTTCTTTTTTTTTTTAATGATGGGGATGTTTTTGAGTGTGTTTTTTGCATTTTTGTTTGTGTATTATTGAAGCTAAATAAGTAGAGGCGAGTAAACCCTAAAAAAAGACAAAAAAAAAAAAAAAAAAAAAAAAACGCTAAGCTGTTAGTTATTTTGTCGTCCGGTTTTCTCCTCATTGTAGGGTTCGTAAAGTCAGACCGCCGTATTCTTAAACGCTACTCGACTCGAAACTCGACTCGAAACTCGACTTGAGGGTGGTTTTGCGATTCATAAACAAATCTCCACTCGAAACTCCACTCGACTCCAAAATCTCCACTCGAAACTCCAAAATTTACTCGAGATCTCGAGTCTGCGCCGGAGCTACCTTGAACGGCCACTCGAGTCACTCGAGTGCGTTCAGTGTCATGGCGGCCGACGCATCGTTCGCCGACTTCGTCGACTTCGTGTTAAGAACGGACGAAGTTCTTCACGACGACCGAGACCCCGACCAGGACGTCGATGTGCCGAGACGACGTTGCCGGGACCGGCTCAATCCGCTGGAGCATTTCAACGATTGGGAATTCCTGGTGCGCTATCGGTTTACAAAATCGACAGTTGTAAGCCTCCTGCAGTGCCTGCCGCTGGAAGCAAACGAGAGCAGTCGCGGCCTGCCACTGTCCCCGATGCTCCAGCTCCTCGTAGCGCTAAGATTTTATGGCGCCGGGACTTTTCAAGTAGTCACGGGCGACCTCGTAAACGTGTCGCAGCCGACGGTGTGCCGCGTAATCGAGCGCGTCTCCCGGGTCCTCGCCGAGACTCTCTTCCCCCGCCTCGTGGATTTCCCGGAGGGCGACTGCGACGAGGTCATGCGGGATTTCTACAACATCGGGAAGTTCCCCAGTGTGACTGGGTGCATCGACTGCACCCACGTCAAAATAAAGGGACCTGGCGGTCCCAATGGGGAAGTCTTCAGGAACAGGAAGGGGTTCTTCTCCCTCAACGTGCAGGTAAGTTCCCTTCTGTTTGTGCTGTTAGCAACAGCGAAAAAGTTGAAAACAACGGCACGCCAAGACGCGGCGTCGCACGTGAAAGCTCGGCGATGTTGTGACTGATATATACTAGAACTTGTGAAGAGATCTGCACTCTGCGACAGTGCAGAGTGGTGGTGGGCCAGCTAGAGGGTTCAAAACCAATTATGTATTGTGTGTTTGGAAACATACATTTGATTGGGTGCCGAGATGGCTTTTGTTATTTTATAGCAAACGCTCATGCTTCATAGTATTTTCCCCTTGAATTATACTTTTCGAAGAAAATATTAGGGAGATTTTATCCCGTGCTCAAATTCTCTTCTATTATACCGCATGAAAAACCTAGGAATTAAGCCACATTGAAGCTTACGTCACATAAAACTGCGAGAACTCAAATGCTAGTTAATTTCCAAAGCTTGCATATGCACTTTGTCAAAAATATACTAATCATAGTAGAAATATCAGCTTGAGCACTTGTGTTCATATCATGGCAACCTGCTCATCCCTGTACTGCTCCTTCCTATCCACAGGCCATCACAGGACCCCAGCTGCAGTTTTTCGACCTTGTTGCTAGATGGCCAGGCTCCGTGCATGACAGCAGGATATTCGATAACAGTCGTGCAAGGGTCCTGTACGAGAATCGGCGCATCCCTGGCCTGCTGCTCGGAGATGCAGGCTATGCCTGCATGTCATTTCTTCTGACGCCCCTGACCAGCCCAGGTGTAGCCAACAGCCCAAAGGGCAGGTATGTACTAGTTTGTTGGAAGAAATAATGGCATGAAATTCAGAACAGCTAACAAGAAGTGATGCTGTAGCCACAGTGTTCCTATTGGTTACTATTAGTTCTGCAAATCTTTGTCACAGCTAGATTCACGACCTTTGGGCCTTTGTATGGCAAAAAAAGCTGGCATTATTCACTTCCTGTGGACAAATTTTTGTTTCAAAAGTATGTAGCATACAACATTTTAGTTCTATTTTTATTTTCCTTGAGAACATTTGTTCTTCCTCGTCACAGTTAGCCGGTGTCAATTGTTGCTTTTTGTCACTAGAATTGGACTAGGGCCAAGAACTTGAATTAAGACGGTAATGTAGAAAACACCAGCCAAAACCACTGTATGCAGGACAGTAGCCTCTGGTAAGCAATAGAAAATGCAGCTAGCATGGATGGGCCGCACTGTACAGGTTACTGAACCATACTGATGGTTGCAGCAGTGGCGATTTTTACACCTGAAGACCTTTATCTTGCAACGTTGCTTCCATTACCAATGCTGCACCATATAGGTACCAAGCAACTCACCTAAAAACAAGGAACTCGGTCGAACGGACATTTGGAGTGTTCAAGCGACGCTTCCCATGCCTGGACATGCGGCTACAGTACAAGGCGGAACGGTCAGCCCTCATCATCACCGCCTGTGCTGCACTGCACAACCTGGCCCTGCTGCGAAAAGAGCCATGCCCACCTGCTCTACCCTCTCCACCAGTACCCCGACGCCGAAGGCGGCTGCGTCCTCATGTACTGCCATCACCTCCAGACCCTGTTGACACAATCAACGGCTCACTGAAAGGCACACAGATCATCGGACTGTGTTTCCAATAGGGATATTCAACCAGTAGCACATGTTTATAGTCAATGACAGGTCAAGGATAGTGTACAAGCTGGAGAGGAGGAAGCAGACAGAAGCTTGAGGTGGAGAGGAGAAACCTCCTCACCACTTAAAGCTTCCGTCCTATTTCTCCTCTCCAGCTTGTACTCCGTTCTTGACCCGTCACTGACTCGTGCAAATACTCGGACACGAATCCAGTAGTAAGCTCTCGAATAAATTGATTCTTAAATCAAATTCCGGGTATTCGGTCATTTCAACATATTCTGGGAAAGACTTGTGGCCAGCACAGAGCTAATGAAAGACCTGCCCTTTCCTTCAATTCTAGTGTGCTGTTTCATTCAACTTCCGAATATACAAAACACATTTGGTTCTACCGTTTCACTACAATGTAGCGCACATAATTAAAATAAATAAGTAAATCCTCAGAATGCTACTAAACTGAAAGAACCCAAATTTAATCATGATTCCCACACCCTTGTTGCTTGCAGCGCAGGGCTGCCAGCTGCTCCACCTTTATCTCTCTCTCCAGCTGGAGCAGCTGGAACTCTGCCCGTCCGCGTCGTCGCTGCTCAAACAACTTGTTTCGGAGTATTCGCATCTCCATTAAATGTTGCGCCTCCTTTCGCCGATCTTCCCTCTCGAGGATGTCGACACGGGCATCCTTTTCGGGAGCCAGGATCCGCTCTAATGCTGCGATGCGGTTCCCAGCTTTTCTGGATGCCCCGCTTGGCAGCTCAGCACGGGGGCAGGTAATGCCCCTTGCCGGCGGAGTCGCATACGCAGCTCCAACGCTGCTCTCTTGGAGAGGTGAGGCGGACGGCTCAGGAGCATCTGGGCATGCAAAACACATTGGCACTGTGAGTGCTAGGGGAAGAGCAGGTACACAGGGGAAGAGGCCCAACAGCCACACGGGCCTTTCGCAGAAATGTTCAAAGCTAGGCGTTGGCAAACTACAAAGCGTGTCCGATGGGTTATGCTCTGCACCAGTTCTAGCACTGTGGATGGTTTACGGTTGCATTATCATATAATTTGTGTCCCTCTGCTTCAACTTTCACGTCGTGCTTTGACTACATGCGTTTTTGCCCCGATAGCATGTTTTGTTCAGTTGGTTAACGACAGATTTTGCCATGTCGGACAGCTGATGCGATCAAATTCCTATCTGAGAAACAAACAAGAGTAACTGCACTTTGTAAACCTTCCTCAAAGGGGACACCACAACATGTGTACACTCAGACAGTTGTTATGGCAGACACTTTGTTAAGAGCAAATATGCGCAAGCTTGTCGCTAACTTGCAGCAGTGAACAAAACGTTGGGGCACAAACAAGCTGGTGAAAGTTTAACAAAAATTTAAGGCGAAAACCCCGAGACTGGGGAAAAGAGTGACAGCACAACACGCAAGTCTCAAACACAGCTGAAATTTATTGCGCAGAGGTTCGTGTGTACTCATGTTTACAAACAAACCGGAGCGCCCCCAGCGGACGCCACCGGCGCCGCGCGTGCGCGATGGAGTGTGGGCAAGAACCTCGCCGTCGCCCATAAACAAACCATTGAAATGCAATGTTGTCCGCGTCGGTATGAGTCCCCCTGCCCTTTTTCGCGTTTGAATTGTTGATTCGACGTCTTTCTGGCAATGTCTGACTACTTCAGCAGCCTCAGTGAAATTACCGAGGCTCGTTACGCCGCAAAACTTCGCATGAATAATGTGACATGCGGCGATTCACTCCGCGTGGACGCCGCAGAATGGACGCTAAAGCCTGATTCGCATGATGACATTTTGCTCGCAAATTTCAGTCGCAACGTCACTCGAACTGCAAAAGCGTGAACCGTAGCTCAGATGGTCGACGTCGATGCTGAAAATCGCAAGCAGAATCGGACGGACCAAGTGAATCAGGCATAAGAAGTCGGTGATGGCCACTGGTAACAATGATCAACATCTCCTTGCATCTACTGTTTACATCGAGTCTGCTTACCAACTTTAAAACTTAAGTCTTTTGAGGCCTGTGCTTACTTCTTATCGCAAGTACCGAGCTAAGATTTGATCTACGGGCCGGTGTCGTCTAAAAGAGCAGACAAGCAGAAACGTTTGAAAGAGCAGACGACAGTTCGAACGACCACGCGGCCGCTTGAACTTGAATGCGCACTGAACGTAGTTCGCAAGTGGTCCGTACAACTTGATGGTTTTCCGGCGTTTATGTTGGAACAAAGCAAATAAATCTGACGACCACAAGTATCCGTGAATTCAGCCCAAAGTGCTTCACGCCCAAGCAATCGTGGTCCGAAGGCGTCTGGTTTTCCCTTTTCACGGCACATTTCCACGTCGTGGGACGAACCGAGCGAATGAGAACTGACCTTAAAACTTTTCTCCACCCTTTCGGCACTGCCCCAGTTGCGGCGTTTTGACAAGAAGGCAGGTTTTTGCCTGGTTTCTTTGAAAACAAGGCAGGAATACACGTCTCATATGGGGACATCCGCCCACAGCTCCAGACCGGAAGTGCGTCCGACGCGCCACCACCGCGTCGTGACGTAACAGAGATGAGTTGGTGTATAGGGTCTCCAAGCCCCCACAGCTGTGTTTGAGACTCGTGTGTTGTGCTGTTTTTTTTTTCCCCGTCCCTGGGTTGTTGCCTTAAATTATGTTACAACATGGGTTGTCTTGTCAGATTGTATCTCCAGGAAAACAAATAAATCAGCATTTGGATTTAAACACATCTTTAGCAGAAAATCTTAATATTTTATACTTCCCTGAATGAGTAATTAATTTTTAAACAGCTTAAACTGATCCTCAAATGAGCAGTGTTTACATTGTCAACCTTGACAACAGCGGAGGCTCTGTAGTAGCAGAATGCAAAAAGATTTATTTGTGTCCCTCCATTTTTTTTGTTGCCCGTAACAGCAGTGCAAGTGTTACGATGTGGCTCATTGTTGTTGTGCTAGATATTTTTCGCGAATAGGACGAGACTTTTGTGGTTGTCACCTTTCATACTTTTTCATGAAATATATAGCAGCTGTAAAATGGATTAGTGCAATGCGTCGCAAGCACTATATTTCCATGAAGGAATTTTGGGAAAAAAGACCTACAATCGCTGATGAATGCTCGGCAAAACAAATATCTCCATAAACAAATTCCATAACTAGAAGTGCTCAAATTGGAGAGGTGCCCCGCAATGTCTTCTCGATACCAATAGACCCTTTGCAAAAATCCCATAAGCCCGCGCGTGCCACGAGACGAATATTGAGAGTCCTAGGTACGCCCCTCCCATTGTTCTTCCTCCTGCTACCATGTGGCATACGCAAGCAGGTGCACAGAAATGCGAGAGGTTATCTCATTGGCTATCTTTTGTCAGGCTGCCCTTTTCTTATCCCTCTCCTTTGCACCGGCTCCGTCGATTGCTACACAAACTCTTTGTTGAGCCGAGTCGAACTGTGCCACGGTTGCGGTGCAAAATAAGTGGATTCGGTGACACTGCAAGACGTGATGGTAAGTTGCGATGAATGAAGTATTTCAATAGGTGAATAGCTTCACCTGTAGAGATACGCTTACACTGCCACAGATGCGGTACGCCGCCAACAACGGTTTGGCGGATGGCTGCGACTGCTGCTGGCGGCAGCTGCAGCAACTCGCTCGCTGTCGCGGAAGCGCAACGAGAAAGCACGTGATCTGCACCGAGTCTTCCCAAAATTCTCTGCCGTCGTGGCGCTGTACGCTTTGCAACAGGTCTATTAACCACTAGTTTTGGTTTCAATTGACAGTACTACGTCGCGACCCACTGCTCGCATTTTCAATTTTGAAACTTCGAAGATATGTACAATAGTGTAGATGTTGCCGAGCAATAAAAAAAAAAGGCTTGGGTGCCTGCTTTTTTTTTTTTTTTTCCAGGTTTGTTGTTAAAATGATACGAGTCGCAAATACAAGTAGACATGTTACGGCTCACAGTACTCATCCTCGACATGTTGGTGCGAATTTGTCCTAATCCAAAAGACCCCAGTTACCTGGCACGTCGTTCCAGCGGGCGTGACTGTCGTCGCCTTCAGTGCCTCGCACCATTGCCTCAAACATAGCGGCCGGAGGCAGCGACAGCACTGGCCGGTCTCTTGCCCTGTCGCTGTCACAGAGATTTGTGACCACTGTCTCCATGTGGTCTGCCGCTGCTCCTACAAGGATGAGTGAGGGGCTCATCGGCCGGCTTGTTCGTGGCCCACCTCCTGTGACAGAAACCAAAGAATTCGAAGCTCACATTGGAGAGAGAGTGAGCAAAGTATGGGGCGAACAATTCAAAGTGCACACTGAATTTTCAATATGCCTCCGTGCGAGTTAAAAACAATTATTAGGGGTACTAGAGCGAACCCAACAAAGAGAGAATCTGGCATAACCCAGCGGAGGACTACTTTTAACCACCTGGAACCTTCTCATGGGCAATTGAAAGCTGGGCACTTTGTTAGAATAGGCTTCCGGCAAGATGCGGGGACCTCTTTTTTTTTTTTTTCAGAGGCGATTGTGGAAATAGATATGTCAATAACGCCAAATTTTCTACAAAAAATATGTAAAAACAAAAAAGAAGTAGTAGGCCCACTTTGGATCGAACCTGGATCTGCTGCCTGCGTATGCAGCGGACTTTGCTACGCTACAGCTTTGAACAACTCGTTTTAACAATTCGTTTTATACGAGACCCAACAAGGTGCACGACGTCGTGCACATAGCATTGTTCTGGCCG